GAGCTTAAGAAATACTTGCTAACTGGCTGGTTTAGGCTCTTGAGCAAATATAAACTTGTTGGGGGAGTGTGTTATTTTCATTTTCATTTCACAATTTGAATACATAGAATTTTAGAATATCAGAGTTGCCAGGGGCCTCAGATGCCATCTAGTTCAGACCTAAATGGTCTCCCTTCTTATAGCATCCCTGACAAGTGGTCTTCCAATCTCAGAAGACCTCTAGTCATGGGAAGTTAGAAGTTGGTTTTGTTCTCTCTACAGTTTCTACCTACTGGTCCTAGTTTTTGCCTCTGAGGCAAAACACAAGAAGTCCACAGTTCTTTAGAATTTAGATATCTGAAGACTACAATCATGTACCCTGCCAGTATCCTTCCTCTCCCCTACCCTCAGTTTCCTCAAGTTGCCTTTTCTCTAACCTTTGGTCTAGTTGCTTTTGGAAGTACCTGGAACCTGGAACTATATCCAAAAATCAAATGGGCTATTTCAAGATGTTGTGGATTCTCCCCTCATTAAGAAGTCTTTGAATAAATCTTGGATGATCATTTGTCAACCACAGTGTGTTATAGTAGGATTCCATTTGCTGAATGGCCATTGAAGTCCCTTCCAACCCTGAATCGAAATTAGTACTGATTCTGAACCATAATACTTGGAGTCAATTCTGGCTTCATCATTTACTAGCTATATGACCTTCAGCAAGTCATTTATACCCATTTTAGTTGATTTGGAAACTGAGTTTCAAAGAGCTTAATACTTAACAATAGTGCTCTATAAATGGGAGTTGTTCTAACCACTACATTTTGTTAGGACCACACTAGGACATTCTGTAAGAACAGTAGGGTTTAAATTCAACAATGCTTTGCTTCAGTCACAGCAGGAAAGAAAAATTCTAAGCACATGCTTGCTGGGATGGATTTGCTGTTGTAAGTTCATGTAATCCTGAATACCTAGCTGTTGTGTGGCACCGATTCAGTGAGGCCATGATGTGGGGAAAGCAGGAACAAATCAGTTTTATCTATCAATAAAGAACTAACCTCCAGTGAAATCCCACACAGTGTGAAAGGGTTTTCAGATGCTGTCAGACAACCTAGACAAGTCCAGAGGGATAAACTCTGATGAGGAAGTCCCTCCTAGAACTAACTCTTTCTCATTCTCCCTCTCTTGCCATTCTCCGCTGCCAAGACTTGTCGCTAGATGAATGTGCTGTGTATTAGCAAAGACAGGTTAGAAAAACCTATGGATCTTCAATTGGGACAGATGCCTCCAGTGAGCCCTGTTTATGTGGCGGGTGAAGAGGTAGCACTGACTTCAATACAACTGCATAGGGTTTGATTTAAGGGCACTGGGAAAGTTCCTTCTCCCCATACTGTCTCCTCCATCGGACGTGTCATTGTTTTAGAAATTTCCACATGAATTATAGAATGTCAAAGTTGAAAGGGATCATGGGAGCGTAAACTAAAAGTAAGAGATCCCTCAATGACCATCTGGTCCAACTTCCTCATGTTGCAGATGTGGAAGCAAAGGCTCCTAAGGGCAAATGAATTGTTCAGCATCACACAGCTAGTTATGAAAAAGTATATTTGTGATCTTAGCACAGTATAGTCTGTATACTTGTTGACTTAGGACTAGAACACTAGGATCCTTGCTGCTTCAAACATGTCATGTTCTCTGTGTGTGACTGGTTTAATGTTACTGTCTTTTGTTCAATAGTACTATGTTTTGTTTAATATGATTAATGTTACTGGGATAAATGAAAATAAAACAAATAAGAAAACTGCCTTCTTTGAAAGGGCCAGAACATTTAGAATAAATCAATGATGCAGTTGAGTGTTCACACGTCCTGCTTCTGAATTGTGTTTCATCTAGGTCAAGTCACCTACCTTCTTTATGTCCTAGTGGCCATATTCTGTAGATGGAATACCTTTGTCTGTACCTGATTATTTCATTCTTTCATATGTTGGTGGGTCTGCAGCTCACTGATGTGGGTTCTCCCTCCAGCAATACAGCTTACGACCTATCCATCTAAGCCTGTGTGGACGTATCTCTTGTCCATATCCTCCTGGAAATCCTTTATATTGGGTTCTCCCAGTGGGCTGAGGGCTTTCTCTTGCCATTAAATGGATATCAGTGGAACACAAGAGTGTCTCTGACTGATAGCTCAAGCTATCAGCTGATCAACTAGTCTTCAATCACTTACTAGGCACTTATTATGTGCTAGGGACTATACTAAGCACTGGCCTTATGAATATAAGCAGAAAGAAAGATAGTCCCTTTTATCAAAGAGCTTACATTCTAATGGAAGAAAACAAAACATAAAAGGAAGGGGTGAGGGAATAAATTATCTACATGGGGACATAGTAAAGAAAGTCCGGAGAGTCAGGAAAATAGCCTGGAGAGGAATGAAATCATGGAGGGCCTAAGCATTTTCCTTTGAATGGAAGTTCTGGGAGGAACCAGCCAAGAGGGAGAATCCACAGGGGTGGAGGGTGCTTATAGAATTTATTAAGCTCTTGCTATCAATCAATCAACTAAAAAGCATTTCCTAAGTTCCTGCTATGTTCCAGACACTGCGCTAAGTTCTGAGTATTCAAAGAGAATGATGAATCATTCCCTTCTCTCTGGAAGCTTATAGTCTTTGCTTTTGCTATTTGACTAGTCTTCCCCCCCACCCCCGGCCCTAATCATATATCTCTCTAATGACATCTTTTATGATGCTACACTTGTGCAATTACTCATTTGAAATACATATGTGTATGTTTTATATACATGTGTGTGTGTGTGTACACATACACACATATATACAGAGAGAGAGAGACAGACACACACACCCAGAGAAAGAAAGAGAGAGAGAGAGAGAAGAGAGACAGAGAGAGAAGAGAGACAGAGAGAGAAAGAGACAGACAGACAGACATGGTAAATGTAACCAAGCTGCTATACATACATATATACATACACACATATATATTATATATACACACACACACACATATTAGTCTATATATATGTGTGTGTGTATATCTCTATCTATATGGAGCAGTTAGGTGGCACAGTGGATAGAACATCAGGCCTGGAGTCAGGAATACCTGAGTTCAAATTCGACCATAGACACTTAGTAGCTATGTGACCCTCATCTGTAAAATGAGCTGGAGAAGGAAATGGCAAACCTCTCTAGTATCTTTGCCAAGAAAACCCCAAATGGGGTCATAAAGAGTCAGACACAACTGAAATGACTGAACAACAATGACATACTTATATAAGGAAATATGTATTTATATAGCAGCCTGGTTACACCCATCATGTACCTCTCCTTTGCCTTTTGCTCTTCCAGTCTTCTAATTGCCCAAATAAGAACACACAAATAAAGATTATCAAGATAAATTCTTTCATCTAGTGATGGGGTATCTGATGGCATAAGAGGTAAAGAAAGAAGGACCAAGGGAGGAAGGGAAGCAGGGAGTGTTGACCATCATCGTTCATTGGAAATAACCTCAACCAATGCTAAACATTTATGGTTCCAATGGTAGGAAATTATTTTTTCCTGCTTAGATATTTGATAGGAAGCAATTAACACAGCAGCTTTCTCCAAGGCCCAGAGTTGTCAGGAAAGAAGGATGTCTCTGAGTGGCAGTCTCATGGAACCTGGCCTATTTAATGCTGTAGTGCCTCATCATTATAGGCTTTCTGAGTGAAAGAATTAGGCATTTGGGTACCAGCATCTCTCTACATGCTCCCAAGATGGAGGATGTATATGTACCTAGCCCTCATTCTTACTTCTTGATCTTGCTCCCAGAATACTCAGTGAACAATTTCAAAAGGCTTTATATACTTTGTGAGCTCGGCAGCCATGGGATTCCGGGAAATTATCTATCTTCATGGCCACCTTGACTCAGGGCCAGATTCTAACTTGGTATTAAAGGGGTAACACAGGATTTTATGGTCGACTGGGAACCTGAAAGATAATCTGTCAGGGGTGGGGAATCTGTGGCCTTGAGGCTGCAGGTTCCCCACCCCTGATTTCTAGTTCAATCCCCTTATTTTACAGATGAGAAAACTGAAGCCCAGAGACTTCTGGGCTCAAGTTAAGTGACTTGTCCAAGGATATACAGGTAGTAAGTGAAGATGTGACGCTCTTCCTAGACTAGAATTAGGTTTTGCTCATATTTGTTCCCTTCCTCAGTGCCTTTCTCAGAGACTTGCATTTAGTGGAAGCTTGATAAATATTTCTTACATTAAGCTGATTGTAGTGACTGTTTCAGGACAGAGAAGAGAGAGGCAGCTCTGACTTTGAGTTGACATGATGTGACAGTGACCCCTTTTAAGTTGAATTGACTTCCTGCTAGTGACTCCTCAGGCCTGGGGCTTTAGGCTCCAGAATTAGTGGGCACCCACATGTGCATTTATATTTCAGTGCCTGGGAGACCATAGACAGACTTGTTTATTTATTGTTGTAGAACAGATCTAAGGACTGCTTTGGTGGCAAATAGCTTAGGGAAGCAAACCAGGAGGGGATTGTGCCTTTGAACTGATGGACAAATTTTGGTCTTGTTTATGAACAGCAAAGAGAAGTATGGGTTTTGTCATGAGCTGCTATTTAAAAGCTGAGGTTGCAACTTGACCAGAGTTCAAGTTTCTTCCGGACTTCCTTCTATTACTACACACACACACACACACACACACACACACACACACGGTTTTCTTACCTCATGCCCAACTGGGGAACTAACAAAGATTTCTCCTGGCAATTTCAGTTCCACTGCAAAGCACCCTATATTTGGAAATTGTACAAAGCCCTGTATATTTGATCTCTTGTAGCCTCTCAGTAGGTTTCAAAGGTAGATTAAACTCACCAGACAGGTTGTCGATAGAACATAAAATATGAATGAAATTGTAATTTTGTGGTGGGTCTTGGATATGTAACTATATTGCAGCAGAAATGTGTCACACCTGGGAGGACTGGGTGAGCAGATCTATGCCAATGTGTGCCTTGTCTTTTTTTGTTCCAGCTCAGCCAAGAAAAACTCAAGAAAATAATGAACATGGTGAAAAATAAAGAATTGAGCATCCAAGGAGCCTTGGAGTTGGCAGAAAAAGAGAAAGGCCCTGAAGAGGAAGGGGTGGAATTGAATGACCCATTGGTAAGGTTGTGTGTTGGGGTTCAGCATTTATGTATGCAACACTTAATACAGAATTTTGTGTTTAATCCATATTATGATAAAATTAACCTTATATGAACAGATGTTGATAGTGACATCAATAATACTTTGATCCCTTTATTAGTATATTTAGATATACAGCTACATGCTATAGTGTATGGGGAGCTGGATCATGAGTCAGAAAGACCTGAGTTCAAATCCAGCCTTTGACAATTATTAGTGATGTGACTCTGAGTCAGAGGCAGAATCAATAAACTATTATACAGCACCTCTATATACCAAATACTATGCTAAGGTAAGAAAGGATAAAAGGAAAGACTTAAGTTACTCCCTGACCTCAAGGAGCTCACAATCTAATGGGGGGAGAAAACATATAAAAAGAAGTTGAAAAGGAGTAAAGAGGAGGTTAACTGAGAATGAAACTGGAGTGGGAAATGATCTGAGAAGATTGGAGTTTCTGAGCTGATTTCACCTTACAAAGTGATGAATTTCTGGATATGATGAAGTCCAGGAAAGCAGCCAGATAGGAAATGATGGTCCAATTACTTGGCCTCTGTCTGCTCCAGTTTCCTTATCTGTAAAATGAGGACAATAATAGCACCTACATCCCAGGGTTGTTGTGAGGATCAAATGAAATGTTTTTCAAGCACTTTGCAAACTTTAAGACATTAAATAAATGTTAGCTCATTATTATTCCCCAAAGCTTCAGCATAATTTTAAGATATTTAAGTTCAAAACTTTACCAAAGCTTTGAGAATTAATCCTGGATTTAATTGGTGAAGGTAACACCTTGGCAAGAATCCTGCTACCAAAACAAGTCAGCACCTAACTTGCAAAAAAGGTGCTGACTTGCATTGGTAGTGGTATTCTCACCTAGGTATAACCTTTACCAATTGAATCGCAGATTAATTCTCAATTCCTAATAAATAATTCAATAATTGTAATAATGCATGTTCAGTACTGCTCATTAATTCTGATTTTTTTCACTTTATATTATTTCACGTGGACGCTTCCATGTTTTTGTGTAGGGTTAGGTTTTTCATTTTGAAAAACAGTGCCCATAGTAACAATAACATAGTTCACATTTATAAATTACTTTCCATATGAGTGAGGGAGGTAGGGCAAGGAGCATGCTCCTCATTTTACAGACAAAAGTACTAGGCTCAGAGGGTTGAAGCAGTTGCCCGTGTCTCACAGCTAATAAGTGACAGAAGGCCTACTTGAACAAAGGTCTTCTGATTCCAAGCTCTGTGCTCTTTGTATTACTCTGCTGTGTGCCTCTCAAGATGCCATTGTACTGCCATGTTACCATCTGTTTAGCCACTGGACATTGAAATTGTTTCAAGCTTTTTTTCTTGAGGAGGGAAGCTCCTGAGAGTCCTTTATGCTTTCTTTCTCTTGACTCTAGGGGGAAAATAAAGACATTCTCTACCTGGTATTCTTAGCTTGAATGATTGCATGAGAACTAGGATACATTTGCCTACATCTATGAGTTAAACCTAGAAATGAGCTATATTTTAGGTTTCCAGAGAAAACTCGTGTGTGTGTGTGTGTGTGTGTGTGTGAAATAAGCCTAAGATATATGACTTGGGGGCAGCCCCCATGTAAACCCAGAGTTTGGGCTAATGGCCCATGGTTTACACATTATTATGTATGGTTCTGCAACAAATATCTCCCCATATAAAATTTTAAAAAAGCATTTGCTCTGGATTAATTTCAGTATTGAGATGACCAAAACATATCAACAGTTTTAATTCTCTTGTTAAAATATGTTCAGATTGCTTTCTGAAAGAATGCTCCAATTTGCATTACCACTACCAAGTATCTACTTACCCCCAAACCCTAAAGATTAAGCATGACTACTTTTATTCAATTTTAACTATTGAGTATATATGAGGTGAGATGAGCCAAGTGGTGAGATATGGCAACCTTGGGAAGTGTAAGTTTAAAATATGATCTCATTTGCTGAATAATATAGAGGAGGATTACATAATATTAGAAGCAACACTTTGAAATTTCAATGGTCATTTTTATGTTCAACAGTTTCTTCAGTTGTGTCTGACTCTTTGCTACCCCTTTTGGGGCTCTCTTGGCAAAGACACTGGAGAAGTTTGCTATTTCCTTCTCTAGGTCATTCTACAGATGAGGAAACTGAGGCAAACAGGGTTCAGTGACTTACCCACAGTCACATAGCTGGTAAGTGTCTGAGACCAAATTTGAGCTCAGGTGTTCCTGACTCCAGGCCCAGAGCTCTATCCACTGTGCCACCTAGTGCCCAATAATCATGTGGTTGTGCCAATATGACCATTCTTTCCAATTATTCGGACTACTGCCTAGCCATACCCTTTTATAACTGCGTGACTCTTGTCCATGTACTCATATAAATCTTCCATATGGGATCTATTCAATGGTGCTGGTGCCTTTTTCTAATTTTATTGACATTGTATGAATCCTAACAGAACACTCAGGGTGTTCATTTGTTATTCCTCACCCTTGCCACACAACTGTCTCACCTTTTTTTCTGGTCATTCATCTCTCTTCTTGAAGAATTCTTGTTTGGTGATGTGTTGCAGCCTACTGATAATTCCCATGTGCTTTTCATTCCCCTTTGAGTGACCCTTAACTTGAATTCTTCAAGGTCTGTGGTATGCCATAAGTCATAGTCATACAGCATCTCCAGAGGAATATTTTAAAATGGGCCTTTTTTCTAGCAATATGTTTCTAGTACATAAGCAATAAGTGATATTGACTTACAAAAAAATAGTAGATGAAGAAAAACAAAGGTGCAGAGTGCTGGGCATGAGGTTCCACTATGGCAAATATTCCAAAAGGGGAATATGTCGCCTTGAGAGGTGGTCAGGCTCTCCTTTTTGGAAGACTTCAGGCAGAAGCTGAATTACTGCTTGGTAGGTATATTATGGTGGGGATGCCTTTCTTTTATGGAATAGGCTAGATGGCTACTGAGGTTCTTTCCAAATGTTTTCGAATGTTGTGATTCATTTGCATATGAAATATAGATATGAAGTGCAAAAGATCTTCTTGCATGTCTCTGTTGATCCATTTCATCAATCAATAAACATTTATCAAGCACCTACTATGTGCCAGGCACCATGGAGGTACAAAAAGAGGCAAAAGACAATCCCTGCCCTCAGGGAGCTTACTATCTAATGGGAGAGATAACATACAAACAAATATATACAAAGCAAGCTCTGTGCAGGATAAATAGGAAATTAATAACAGATGAAAGGCACTAGAATTAAGAGGGGTTGGGAAAGGTTTCCAGTAAAAGATGGGATTTTAGTTGAGACTTAATGGAAACCAGAGAAATCAGTGGGTGGAACTGAGTAGGGAGACCATTCTAGGCATGGGAAACATCCCCAAGAAATGCCTGGAGCCCATAGATGATGTGTCTTGTTCATGCAACAGCTAGGAAGCCAGTGTCACTGGATTGAAGAGTATGTGTCAGGAAGTAAGGTGCAAGGAGATTGGAAAGGCTGTAGGGGGCTAGCTCACGAAGGGCTTTGAGTGCCAAATAGAGCATTTTGTATTTGTTCCTGTAGGCAGTAGGAAATCATGGAGTTTATGAGTAGGGAAGTGGGATGTGACATGATTGGACCTGTGCTTTAGGAAAATCACTTTAGTAGCTGAATTGAGGATGAATTGGAGTGGGGAGAGACTTAATTTACCAGCAGGCTATTGGAACATGTCTTCAGAGTCACACAACTGACACAGAGTTATGGAGGATGAATAATTCAACTGGGTCTGATACTGATTACCAAAAAAACCCCAAAAACCAAAACCAAAAAAAAAAAGCATGTTTTGCTCAGTAGAAGAAAGTAGAGCCTTAAAAATTATCCTTAAACAAGACATTTTTTTTAATTTCAGGAATTCTGGGTTTTAATTATGCTTTTTAATTGAGTAACTATCTAAAAATTATTTTTCAATCAATAAACATTTATTTTTTCCCTTCTACCCTCTTCCACTAAAAGAAGAAAAGGCCTTTGTAACAAATATAGATAATTAATCAACATAAATTCCCACATTGGCCATTCTTTAAAATGTATGTATTATTGAGGCCATTACTTTTCTTTCAGGAGGTGAGTAGTATACTTTGCTGTAAGTCCTTTGGAATCATGGAATGTGAGAATGTAAGCAACTTTTCCTTGTTTAGTCCCTTAAGATTATTTACTTTCATTTGCTTTTTATGTTTCTCTTGACTGCTCTGTGCACGTTTCAAAGTTTCTACGCAGTTCTGGTCTTTTCATTAGGAATGCTTGGAAGTCATCCATTATGTTAAAGATCCATTCTTTCCCCTGAAGAATTACACCCAGTTTTCCTGAGTAAGTTATTCTTGGTTGTAATCCAATATCCTTTGCCTCCTGGAATATTGCATTCCAAGCTCTTTGCTCCTTATTATAGTGACTGCTAAGTTGTGTGTGATGCTGACTATGGCTCCTTGGTATTTGACTTATTTCTTTCTGGCTGTTTGCTGTATTTTTTTTCCTTTGATCTCAAAACTCTGGGTTTTAGCTATAATGTTCTTAGGAGTTTTCATTTTGGAGTTCCAGGGGAAGATCAGTTGATTCTTTCTATTTCCATTTTTCCCTCTTGTTCTAAGAGATCTGGACAGTTTTATTTTATAGTTTCTTGAAATATGATGTCTAAGTTCTTTTTTTTCCTTTTGATCATGACATTCAGTTAGTCCAGTGATTCTTAAATTTTATCTTTTCAGTTTTTTTCCCAGGTCAGTTGTTTTTGCTGTGAGATACCTTATATTTTCTTCCATTTTTCAGTCTTTTTACGTTATTGCTTGGGTAAGGTTTTGTACCATTTGTGCTAAGATTTTAATTACTTTTTTAATTCTTTCTTCCATAGCTCTAATTTCTTTTCCATTTCCCCCCTCTAGCACTCATTTAATTTATAAAACATTTTAAAACTCTTTAAAAAATTCTTCCTTAAACTCTTCCAGAAACTCTGGTTGA